AATATCAATTTTTCATAGTGAAATGAGTTTACGTGCTGGCTCCAAAATACGGAATAGAATTTCTGGAGTTATCCACAAACGATGATCAAATGTCTTGTATTTTGTGAGTCATCCTCTAGGAATTTATTGGCCCAACAAATCGATTACTTGAGATTTTCCTAAAAATTGTGGAGTCTTGTACCACTCTATCAAACTGGTTCTCCATGACGAGTTGAATGTCACAAAACTCATTCTTTGGACCACTGATATTCCCATCCCTCATTAAAAACATTCCCCTGGACTTTTGATCTTTATTTGGATGACCCCAATTGTAAGAACCATTTTGAATGTTTTGTGTGTTGGTGAAAATCCCTCCATGTATATACTTGTGCTTTGTTCCTATTGATCCCCTTAGTTGTACATTGTTGTCTTTTGATTACATTTGAATTGCTAATACTTGTATTTTTTATTATAGATTTGTTTTTCTTACGCATTCACTAAGTTTGTGTTTCTTCCCGAACTGTATCTGTGTTGTTTTACTGGACACTTGTTCTTGGCGGTAGCCATATTTATTTGCTCCTCCTTTTGTGTGTTCTATCCAGTCAGGATAGAATAACGTTCATTTGTTGTGACTGGTAATTTTCCCTCATCTTTTATCAACTCCTTTATTTATTGTAATTTAGATTTATTGATTGAACAATTATTGGTTGAATAGCCGGGCGGTAATATTTGTTTAGGTAACGATTTACATTTAAATTTATGATGAATTATAGAACCGCTATTTACCCGATTACTTGTTTTGATTTCGACGGGAAAGGGCGCGTGTCTAAAGTACCTGGACGGTTATTCTTCAACGTCCAAACCGTAGTTTGGATTTTACGTCAATATCTTGGTAGAAATTTCTGGCCCAGATAATATATTAGCACTCCAAGAAGACTTATATAAACCACCAGGTTGAACTATCCGGAACCGCTTTCATCGCAACAGAATGTTTATGGCGAACAACAGTGGTACTACATGCATTACGTAATTCTCAGGAGATTAGAGAAATATACTTTCCACTACTGAAAAGGACCTAGGCATCACGCTCTGTAGTACTGTTGGCTTCTCGCCTTATTTGCATTTCGTGGCCCTATTGGTAATCAAGCTAACATGAGCCATGAGTACTAAAAAGTGAATTACAGACGCTAAAAAATTTTATAACCAAACAAAAGTACCGATACTTCCGAAGTCCATCCCAAAGCCTTCTAGTTTTTTTACCAAAGTAAATCTGTTGGTTGTAAACACTGTAAGTGGAAATAAATTAGGACCCCAAAGTTACAAAATTTACTAAAGAATAAGACTTCGAATGCATCTTAGCAGTCTTAGCTCCTATTAACGTAAGTGCGGTGCACTTCGTAGGTTGGAAACAAACCCACAACCCTGAATGTGTGAAAATACTTTATGTTTACAAATAGTATTACACTCTGGTGAGCTCCGAAAATTTCCAGATATACTTCTGGTTCAGGCTCCTCAGCAACAAGTTCTAGGCCTTTCCTGATCTACTCAGTGGAGAAGGAACTAATGTGGAAAGCAACTGGAAGGGGATCAAAGAGGCAATCACTTCAACATGTCATGAGGTCCTTGGTCACAAGAAGCACCATCACAAGGAATGGATCACTGTCGATACACTGGATAAGATTCAAAAAAGAAGGAACAAGAAAGCAGCAATCAATACCAGCCGAACAGGAGCAGAAAAAGCCAAGGCACAAGCTGAATACACAGAAGTAAATAAACAAGTGAAGCGGAGCATCCGAACCGACAAACGTAAATATGTGGAAGATTAAACAGCGAGGGCGGAAAAGGCTGCCAGAGAATGAAACATGAGACAATTGTATGACACAACAAAGAAACTCGCTGGAAATCACCTTAAACCAGAACGACCAATGAAAAGCAAGGAAGGCAAGGTAATCACCAACATTGGAGAACAGCAAAACAGGTGAGTAGAACACATCAAAGAACTCTCGAATCGACCAGCCCCACTGAACCCAACCAACATCGGAGAAGCACCCACGGACCTCTCAATCGATGTTGGCCCACCAACAATTGAAGAAATAAGCATGGCCATCAGACAAATCAAGAGTGGCAAAGCAGCAGGACCAGACAACATTCCAGCAGAGGCACCAAAAGCAGACGTACCGGTAACTGCAAGGATACTCCACATTCTCTTTAATAAGATTTGGGATGAGGAACAAGTACCAACAAACTGGAAAGAAGGACTTCTGGTCAAAATACCAGAGAAAGGCGATCTCAGCAACTGTGATAACTACAGAGGCATCACTCTTCTCTCAATACCGGCAAAAGTCTTCAACAGGGTATTGTTAAACAGAATGAGGGACTGCGTAGACGCCCAACTTCGTGACCAACAGGCAGGATTCCGTCAGGATAGATCGTGTGCAGACCAAATCGCATTTCTACAGATCATTGTGGAACAATCAGTTGAATGGAATTCATCACTCTACATCAACTTCATTTGACAGCGTGGACAGAACAACAATATGGAAGCTTCTTCGACACTACGGCGTGCCTCAGAAGATAGTCAATATCATACGGAATTCCTATGATGGATTACATTGCAAAATTGTGCATGGAGGACAGTTGACAAAGTCGTTCGAAGTGAAGACCGGTGTCAGGCAAGGTTGCTTACTCTCACCCTTTCTCCTTCTCCTGGTGATCGACTGGATCATGAAGACGTCAACATCTGAAAGGAAACACGGGATACAATGGACATCTAGGATGCAGTTGGAGGATCTAGACTTCGCAGATGATCTGGCCCTTCTATCCCAAACGCAACAACAGATGCAGGAGAAGACGAACAGTGTGGCAGCAGCAGCAGCAGTAGGTCTCAATATACACAAAGGGAAAAGCAGGATTCTCCGATACAACACAGCATGCACCAATCCAATCACAATTGACGGAGAAGATTTTGAAGATGTAAAAACCTTTACATATTCAGGCAGCATCATTGATGGACAGGGTGGATATGATGCAGATGTGAAAGCGCGGATCGGTAAAGCAAGAGCAGCATATTTACAACTGAGGAACATCTGGAACTCAAAACAACTGTCAACCAACATCAAGGTCAGGATTTTCAATACAAATATCAAGACAGTTCTACTGTATGGAGCGGAAACCTGGAGAACTACGAAAGCCATCATCTAGAAGTTACAGGTGTTTATTAACAGTTGTCTGTGCAAATTACTTCGGATCCGTTGGCCGGACACTACTAGCAACAACGTACTGTGGGAGAGAACAAACCAGAAGAAATCAGGAATAAGCGCTGGAAGTGGATAGGACACACAATGAGGAAAGCACCGAACTGCGTCACAAGGCAAGCCCTCACATGGAATCCTGAAGGCCAAAGGAAAAGAGGAAGACGAAAGAACACATTACACCGGGAAATGGAAATAGACATGAGAAAAATGAACAAGAATTGGATAGAACTAGAAAAGAAGGCCCAGGACAGAGTGGGTTGGAGAATGCTGGTCGGCGGCCTATGCTCCATTGGGAGCAACAGGCGTAAGTTAGTAAGTAAGTTCTGGTTCAGGCAGTACATCACAAGCTTTCAATAATGGTACAGGTTTCAGTCACTATGGATTTGTCAGGACTACAAAGATTGACAACCTGAGAGATGAGGGAAGGAGTTTTTACCTGAACGCAATTTGGTCATTCGAAGTACACTACACTCAACGAAACCGATTGTCGCTGATGTTAATGCACCTGTCATGTTAATACTGTTGATTCTTTTTGTGACATTGAAATTTCATGACATTCATTCACCCATTTTCGTTGGTTATATTCCATTAAGCCCTCTTTGTTACCGTTGATCATTTCGTGTGAATTGTTATATTACGAAGGGATATTTGGTAGAGCGAGAGCAGTTTAATAAATACGATTGAATGTAGAACATTTTTGTACATTATTGAAAATTTTAAGTGAATACTGTGATTTACGGCTGTTGTAACAAATTATGCACAGTGCAATTCTGTTATTTTAGTATTGCTAGAAGGTAAAAGCTTCATAGAACCCATCTTTTGTGATTTGTTTATTAGTCATGTCTAAGCTATCTGTTTCAACTGGTAAATAGGTATCTTTATATAGCTTGTTCCGAAAGCAAACAAGTAAGAAATTGATGGTCTCTGGAAGGTAATAAACATATGATTTCAGGTAGATGTAGAAAACCCATAATCTTCAAACTGGTAATCTGGAGTGAGAGCAACGTCTTTAATCGGGTCGTAGTCAGGGGAAAATGCTTGACCTAGCTTCGCTAGCTCGAAAACCCTATTACGGCAGAGATGGTTGAAAGACAACAAATTTTAAGTAATTATCACTATATCACTACACTCCTGTACATTTGTACATCGTGAAAAACATCTGATACTTGTTGTTGCTTTGTTCTGTACATATTTCTGTGAGATATATAACAGATGTTAACTACTTACTTGAAAATGAGTTCCTCAAGGTAATCTATAACTCATTTCGGTGTCTTTAGTTTAAACACATTTTACCGACTACACAACGAAGCACCAACCGCATGGGGCTTTTTTTCATTTAACTCTGAGCAAAATATATGCCAAGCGAATGCAAGTCGTATGGCTACAAATTTCGGAGAGGATTTGGCTTATTGTCATAAAATCTATTTACATCAGGGATCAGGAAATTTAACAGGTATGGCAAAGTGACTGTTGTTTCTTATTGCTCAAGCAATAATAGCATTAAGTGAAGAAGATAGAACTTCTGTCTAGGATAGTCTCACACACGTATTCAGTTATATCCGAAAAAATTGAACTTGGAAAGATGGTGAACAATAGATCGCTTTATATATGAACACACTTATTTATGTGCTTGTCAAAAAGATTTTTCATAATCTTATGTGTATACAGTGATTTCACGTTTTTTGCTGCACAGACTGCATGGGTCACTCTCAAATAACAGTCTTTGTAGTCTGGTGAGCATTTTGTTTTAGTTATCTAAACACATCAGTCACCGTTACATCTGACTCTGAATGACTTTTAAAATGAGAGAAAATGTACTTTGCGGACATCCATAATAATCTTAACTAAGATAGAAATGGATGATATTAAATCAGGTTTGTATTTGTGCTTTTGCATATACAATTTTAGCCCTGGAAGTAGAACTGGAAAGGCTGAGAAAACTGGTGAGGAAATACCGAACAGAAAGCATTGTTTTCGCAAAACCCAGAAAAAGCAAAAGTTTAGAATATAGCGCAGAGCTTAGACCCAATGAAAATAGTGACGCGTATGAGAGCCATAATCCAGTTAGCTCGTTGAACTGTGAACAGTTATCTTCACCAAAGGTTCCGAAATCGCGTTGTGTACAGTTTGCTCCAGTGAACAACTGCTGTGAGAGTAAAGATTTATTCCTTCGCCAAAACAAATAATTTACAGGTGTTAGTCGTCTTTCAGATTCAAATGAAGTTATACGCAAACCTAACAGACCTTCACAGCACCGCACACGTTTTCTTGACCCTCCAACAAATATTGATATGCCATCTAGATATCACCCAGTACCGAAATACCCCCTGAAGAGTACGGTTCCGTATTTCTATGATTAGAATTTAGAGAATCCAAGAGAAATTTTACTTATACTGCCATGGATTTGATAGAAAGGAGGAGATTTCAGGAATCATTTTTACATTTACAGTAAGAGTTTTCTAATCATTTTATTTCTACTTAAAGTGAATTTTACCGGAAAAACTATCCACTTGATAGTGAATTGGTAATTGAGTTAAGGTAAGTCACTGTATTAGGTATGTCGTTATTACTAGTGGGTAATCACTGTTATAATCTTACTCATATTATTAGTCGAGAAGTTGGAATTATATATTACATTAAATTGAGGGTGGTTCCATTATCTTGTCAACTGGTGTTTCATATACAAGGTATTCTGAACTAAAGTGTACGTTGCTCCGCTTTGTATACTTTACGTGGTGGACTATATGGCTCATAATATTTCACAATATATCAGTGAATTTATGTTACACGAAATCTGTTCCTCACAAAAGAAGTGTATTAAAATCAGTTCGGTGTGCTTTTCATACAAAATGTTAGTTGACCTCAAACTATTCACAACATTCTTTTCCCGAAAAGTGGTATGGTTAGCTTGCATGTAGAGAATAATCGTCTTTCTAAAATCAAGATAATATCGCCTTTACAAACTCACTTGCCTTGAAGTAATACAAATAAAAGTGACCGTCACACAACCAAATTAAGTACTTCACTTCACGTTCGTTCTGGGATATAATTAGTTTTTCAAAGGATATCCTTCATACCATGAAGTTGGTAGACGAAACAATAACTATTCTACAGTATGCAAAGTTATGATCATATTAGGCTATAGTAAAGAGGCTACCACAGAAGAATTATCCCAGGACTAAAAGCTACTTTTCATAAGTGAATGATCAATTGGTCACTGAAACCAATGTTTTTTTCTTAACTTGCCTAATGTCTAACTAGTATACCTTCTTACTTATGACATATTATAAATGTGCAGTTTATACACGGATGATAACAAGCCTTACGATGATTATTCTGCATTAACCTATCTTGCTCCAATATTTCTCAAGTATCGTAAAATTATAGCCTGGGCCGATTTCATTTATAATAAATGAAAAACAAGATTGTCAGCGAAACGTTGAACCAAAACCCAACAAATAGATGACATTGCTGTGATGTCTAACACCATAGTACTTCTCGTGTCATGAATCACTGATACTGCCTTTACATTGTATCTAAGCTATCTTATGAGTTATTGCTTTCCGTTTCTTATGAATGATCAAAATATGAGATTTCTTTGCGATCATTTAGCTCTTCGTGTTCTAATTTCGCGGAGTCCTGCCATATTTATTCTTTTCACCTTGCATGTTTGTATCAGTCATTGACCACCCCTTTTTGTACTCTCAAGATAATTTCGAATAACTTGAGTTTGGCCAACGTCCCACTAGGTGGCCATATGAGTGGAAATTGTTAACTTTTGAATCTATTCATTTTTCAAGACAGCACATTATGTCATTTGAGACGTCTTTCGTCGTACCAGAAAGTGCCGACAAACTTCTGGGAGTTTCTTTGTATTTACATGGGTATATATCTGTCTCAAACATAAACATATTCCTCCATTTATTCTGTATGTTGCTAAACATATTTAACAATGGCCAGTCTTCAAGATAAATATCCTTGGATCCAGAAGTTAAAACAGACATCTTGTTAGCGATTTCAACTGTCCAGAAACTAAAGTATGTTGTTGCCGGTAAAAATCTTCTGTCTTTCCCTAAACAACTAACAAAGAGCACTAGCATTTTACATGAGTTGTGAAAATTATGAAAATATGCCTTACTTTCCTCTTAAATACTATAATAGATCGTAAACGATTGGAACCACAATTTTTGTTAGTAATATACAATAACTGTGACCTATTACTGTCCTATAAGGTGATTCAGTAGAAAAGTCTCACGATTTCTCCTCAAACAAATTTCTGGAAACAGAAGGAGTGAGATCTTAGTTATAGAAATTCAAATAACTATATTTTATGCAACATGACTCCAAATTTGTTTCGGCTAAGTTGAACTACCGAAAAACTAGCCATAAGATTCAGTGGTTTTGTGTGCCTAACCATTTCATTTTTTGCCACAATCACACCACTTTTGCTAACCGAAAGAATTGTAACCCCCTTGACTATATTTTTAGACTTGCTTATGAAATGGAAAGTTAATGTGACGCGCATAAAAGAAAAATATTTACTGTCAGATATCGCAGGAAATAAATATCTAAGTTTTGCAGAAAATGAATCAACATTTCAGCTTCAAACTAACCTACATCTATCACTCAAACATCACTTTATTTGCATCTGTCTATACTACCTGTCAATAAATTCAGCCATCTTAGAATAACTATTTATCTTCTGATAATTACGGAGAAGTATTCAAAGACATGAATAATTTCAAACAATGATATAATACACCACATCATCTTGCTTATAGTCGTTCTGCAGAATTACAGAAATTTCTATGAAAATGGATCTACTTACAGTAGATAACTAGTGGACATTTACTGGGAGGATTGCTCTTTTTATCTAGTAGTTTGCTTCACGTCCTGAAATTCTATTAGAATAATCAAGGCCCAATGAAAACGAATTTCTGGAAAGTTTATAATAATCCTGAAAATAAGTTCAAGGCTATGGTTTAGTTATATATTGGTTTTAATAGTTTACAGTATTCCAAGTAACTATTGAAGTTTTAAATCTAAGTTTTCTGTCCCCAACTTGATTTTCTTGCTGAGAAAAGCACTCAATAACTTTGGATTGTTGTGAATACATAGATGACAAATAAACATCTAGCTGTGAAATGAGAATTGTGAGAGAGGTCAAAGAAACAAGCTATTAACATTTAGTCTATAGGTTATCATTTCAGGTTAATATTCTGGTTTTCAGATTAGTAATTGAATATGTCCAAATACCTTATGATCCTTGTCACCGTAATAAAATGTGAAATGTTACATCTTTTCTAAGCTGAAACAAAACAGTACACAAAATAATTTATTTGTATCCATACAGAACTCTACGTGGAGTCTATGAGCATACAGGAGGTCATAACCTAGCTCTTATGGCTGCTCTTGAAAATACACTTGAAGAGGCCTTGAAAGTGGAAAAAGATAGGAGATTAACGATACTGGACGGCGTCAACAAGCCCAATAAGCCTGATTATTTTTCACCTCAATATGAGAGAGGTAAGTTCGTCAAACGATTGTAATAACTCGTATCTTCAAAATGTTCCTTATTAAAACTTTGAACTACTTTTGGGATTTAAAATTGAGCTTATGTGTCACAAAATTGGTTAGTGCTTACTTAGTTTTATTTTTGGAATTGCTAGACTAGTGTTGTGTTCAATCAAAGATAAGTTATTTACTGTTGTTTGTTCAAACAAACAAGCTTAATTGATTTGAACAAGATAAACTAAGTGATCAATCAATAAAGGTAAGTCGCTGATGATAGGATCACCTCTTTTATTTTTTGAATCACAAATGGTAACTTTTATTTCATATAACTCTTTGCTCTCCAGTGATCTCAGTTTAAATGACTTCTCAGAGCAAAAGATTGAATGCAAACAACAATTTAGGCAAAGCTTTTCTAAAGAAGAGATCATTTGGTCAATTTATATGAAAAACTATCAAGATTAAGGTGTTTTTAAAAGTACTGATGCGATGGTCATATTTTTACGATGGTTGCTTATAAGGATTTTAGATATTCATGGTACGAGTTTATAATTTTATTGTTTTCAATAAAACTGGGTAGAGCATAAAATGAAATGTCTAAGAAGATCATTAGCCCTTAAACTGGTCGAGTTTGGGTTATTTACTTCAAGGACATAATCAAATTTGATACAAATGTACCGTTGAAGAAAATCTGATTCAAGTTTCAAGTTTACTCATTTGAGTATCTTCCGTTATTAATATAATATTAGATGCTGTCATTTTCCTACAATGACAGTAATTAAATAAAAGAGTACACATTTTGATCATAGAAATAAACTAGTAGGAATATGTGTACTCATATTTTGTGCTTAGTATGACTCATCAGCTTTTAATGATTCGGACCATAACACACTAAAGTTCGAGCCATTTGACAGAATAATCAAGAGTATTAGAACTGTTTGGATGAATATGAATTCTTCAGCAAACAATGAGTAAATTACCAAAGAGATGGTTGTTTACTATAGGAAGGTGATTGACTGTAAAGTGATCGTTTTAAAACTTCATCGTTTGACAATATGTGCTGCGTTAAAGCTGTTAAAACTCAAAGTTTCTTATATCTTATAGCTTAATTCATCAAATAAAAACAACAAATGTTCTATGATATAATGAAAAACATAAAAAATTCTATAATCTGTTCAGATTAACATCAAATTTTAACATTTTTATAGGCCTAAATGTTTCTGTTATAACTTGCGGCCTGTGTGCCCTGTTAATGTATAACGTAGCGATACTGCCGACTAGAGAGCAGTGATTTATCGATCGGACCAATGACGCGTAAAACACTTACGAGCAGTCTAGAGTCCTGATTAGCCCTGCTTTCCCCCTAGCCCAGCCAGTTAAGTCCAGAACACCAATCTCAGCCTCTGCAATATAAATCATTTATTTCAAACATACTCGGTTTATATACCGATCAAACAGACTACATCGTACCAATACGATAGGAAACAACATTTATACAAGATTTGGCCAAATATGGCTGTGAATGTGGGAGGTAGTAAATAATAGACAGGGTATAATTCAAGAATGGTAAATCGTAGAATAATAGTTCATAGGTTAAAATAAAGCTCATAATAAGAGGGACACAAATATGAATAGTTTAGTTATTTAATAATTATATAATAGAAATGTACGTATAGTATTGGTCCATAAATGGATCCCAAACGTTACCATTCATTATGCTTATCGGGTCATAACAGTTTCATTGAAGCCTGTTCATATAATAATACAAAGGAAACAAGTGATAACTTAAGGCATTAAGTTCAAAATGAAATATATATATTATATTCAATATTCCATACTTTATAATCAAATAAAGTAAGTCAAATATGACTATTTTTTCAACATCTTCCCATTATCTTAATCTGTTTTAGTTCTTAAGTAGATTTTCACCTTTCGAATAAATTAAACTATATTTAAACAGAAGAATCATTAACAATTATATAGTTAATTATGGTATTAACAATAGTTTATTATAAAATGACATAGAAATGACGAATGTATACATTGAATATACAATACATTTTTGTGTTTTTCCTTTTTAAAAAAAAATAACCTTCATTTCTCCTCATTTGTTCTTTAATTTGGTAAAATTATAATATTGTAATAATTTGAGTTAATAATAACTACTACGAATCAAGTGTAGATGGTTACTGCTGCTAGGCAACTCTGTAACAATAATTAGTCGTATTGAAATAATAAAACATTAAAAATGTACTTTATTATTGTCAGTAATATTAATGGTCAAATTAGCAGAGTAATAATAATAATAATAGCAGTAATAGTAGTGTATGCAAGATTAATGGGAGATTGTTTTTTTTCTCTTAATTCCTATACTTCATTTCAACATTGTATAACTTTAATTCTGGTTAATTGTTTTATTACCTAACATCTTTTTTTTTCTTTTTTTCTAAAAAAAAAAGGAAAAACATACAAAAATTAGAATTATAAGAATTAAATTTTGATCATTTCCATTTTTATTCTGTCCGTTACAGCTAAACAAATAAAATTAATGAATAATTTTAAATGAATTGAAGCGTTCATTCATTATCGATTGATTAAACAATCATTTATTGCCATAACAATAAAATATTTATTAAATCATGAAATAGTAATGTATTTCTTTTTTTAATTTATTTAGAAAATATAAGCTCTTTCATGCCTAAAATGAAACTGAAATTAAATAATAAATTATCTGAAGCAGCAAATATATTTCATTAAGTAGGTGCTAAGTATTAAAATTCCTTGTTTACAATACTTTTTTAATGGTCGGATTTATGAGATGATTTAAACTAGACCACCCTGGAAAATCTGGAAACAATAGATGGCTATTTTATTCTAGTAGGAAATTCCTCAGCAATATACATCCACAACCCTGCACTTGGGATTCGAACCCAGGACTTTCGGTTTCGCATATGGACGCTTAGCCTCTAGACCACTTAGCCAGCATCCAATGGTGTTAATGTCTAACTACAACCAATCCTGGGTTTGAATCCTGCATGCGGGATCGTGAATGCGTACTGCTGAGGAGTTCCATAATAAAATGAAACGACCTCCCAATGCTACCAATTCAGTAGTATATTCATTTTCGTTTTAATTCGTTTTTTTATAATTCATAATATATAACTATTCTATGTAGTCTTGTTAATAAGATATATTTCATTTAACTTTTATAGATTATCGTTGGCAAGCAGCAATACGAGCTTATGAAATTGAACAAGCCAATAGAGAATTTCGATTAATACAATCAGAATTAGACCGACTTAAAGCTTTACAAGCAGAAAGACGAAATCAACAAGAATAATATCGTTTTTTTTTTAGAAAAAAAAACTTTTCTCATTGATTTTGTACCACTAATCTGTAAAATTTGCTGATAATTTAATGTATAGATTGAAAAGAAGACTTTTATTATATCATCATATTAAAGCGCCAACTTATACAATAAACTAGTAAACATACATCAAATATAATAATGATAAACTCTGTATGAAATTCTTTTGTTCATTGAACAATATTTACACATTAAACAGAGTATTGAAAATTGATCATTTTAGTTATTACAATTATTGTTTTGTTTAAATCTCTCATATTTAAATGTTTTCATTAATCAAGATAAATTTCTATCTTA